GATTGACTCAGCCTTCCATCCTTCCGAAGTCAATAAAATGAGAACCCAGATTCTTGGGGGCAACAGGCTGACTCTGTAATCCACTTAGAGAGGGCTGTAAAGCACTATGAAGGGATATATGAGTCTAAGTGCTATTGCTCTTATACTGTACTGTACATGAGAAAGATTAGCAATAAAACCCATTGAAACCGAATCCTATACTCCCAATAGGCAAGGGAGGAGCTAAGGTAAACTGGCCAGATCTTCAGAAATACTCCAACTCAGTCACCAATTTTTCTCTGACCACTTTATGGGAAAACATTTTAGCTATTCAATTCATAATTAAAGCCACACTGTCACTTCTCTTCATGTTTTTAACAATTCCACTCTGCATGATCAGATCACCTGAACAGAATAACAGAGTTGGAAGGGACCCTGGAGATATTCTAGTCCAACCCTCTGCACAAGCAGAAAACCCTAAACCAGGGGTAGGCAACCTTGGCTCTTTTATGACTCGTGGACTTCAACTCTCAGAATTCAGCATGGCTGGCTCAGGAATTCTGGGAGTTGAAGTCCACGGGTCATAAAAGAGCCAAGGTTGCCTACCCCTGCCCTAAACCATTTCAGACAAGCGGTTGTCCAATCTCTTTTTAAAACCTCCAGTGATGCAACATCTTCTTCCCAGTCCACCAGTTCTGTTCATTTGCACGATGCGTTCAATTTGAAGAACTTGTCCACTATCCATTTCTACAAGCATAGGTTTCTCTACTAATTGTGTGGACAATTTATATTCTTGCACTGGGGATTCACGTATGAAGCCGGCTTATTGCACCTGAATCTAAAGCAACTGAGAATTGAGAATGCGCAAAATATAAAAGGGATAATAAAATATACTTGCCTGTTGTCGGCTGCCAAAGCTCTTCTTGTCTGAGGTCAAACCTGCTGAGTTCCTGGGAGAGAGCCCTGCAAACATTTCAAAAGATGAGGCTCAGGCACTTGCTTGCTATGCGGCCTGCGGGTCCACAAGTGTGGCACTTACCAACTGAGGCCTATACCTTAATGGGGCAAACTTTAACTAGGTGTCCTGGTGCTCCAAGATAGAAATGCAAACCAAGATCTTTCCTCTTCTGTTTCTCTACTATGGGTAGAATCTTACTGTTCCTATTGTAGGGACTGTCCAGCACTCCTCTCAAAGGCTATAGGGAAGAAGAGGTGAATAGATCCATAAAAGTTCTTTCCCTTTTTCCCCTGTGCCTTGTCTCCTCCATTCACCCATTAATTAACACACAATTTTGGAACAATTTGTCCAAATTCTCTGGTGTGCCCTGATTCACTAATTCATTCCTGAGTTGTTCATACGTTCTTCTTGGAACTGATCAATTAGAGCAAGGTCATTCCACCACATATCCCCGGCATAGGATTGCAAATCTGATACACTCTCAAACTCTTGAGGTTGCCCTGTTTCAGCTTGCAAATCTCTCCATTTCCTGTTGCCATCCTGAGTTATTCAATGCAGCTATCAATTTTTGCATGCAATTCATACTTATCCAATAACAGATCCACGCCTTCCATGAGGGACATAGTTCATTTGGCTGGGGTCCACTTTGAGGATGTTCAGAACAAAAGTTATTCTAGAATGATCTCTAAAAAAATATGCCCTAGACAATTTACAATGAGTTGTGAAAGTCAGAAACTGGTTCTGGGTTCTTCCAATGTCTCCAGAAAACTCTTGAGAGTGAAGAAATACCACTTAGGCTGCAGTTGTTGAGCTGCTTCTGGTTGAGGCAAGCTGTATCCCAAGTGGAGAATTACCGTACTTGTACCATGATCCACAATGGTTCAGCAAATTCTTCTGCAAACTTGAGTTCCTTAAGGATTGACTGCCATCTCCATTATCAAAGACAAGGGCTGATGTTTCTCTGAATAAAAAGTAGAAGGCTTTCAAAACAGGTATCAGTTCTTTGATGTAGGCCAGGAAGCAGACACCATATGACTACCGGAACTCTTCTCTACTTTTGGAGGGTATAACAACAGAATGACTAAGTTTCATTCTGCATCCTCTTATTCTAAAAAAAAACAAAACACCAAGGTAGGAATATCTTGAGAGTTTCTCATCCCTTCTTCCTTTCCAAGACTAAGCAGAGTTTACAATTTTTGCATTCCTTCAAGGTTAGCTCTGTATTCCTCCACAAAGTGGAGTTAAACGTTTCTTCCTGGATTCTCTCAATCAAGGTTTGGTATCAAAGTCCCAACAGGACTGTTTTCCTTAGCTGGATTTAACCTCTCCAGTTTACTTATCCTGGTGAATTTGTTTTGGTTTCTACTTCTGTGAAATGAGGGAGCTTGAGGCTCACAAATGTCCCCTCTAAGGAACAGCCTCCTGCTGGAAATAAGATTGGCTCCCACATTGCTGATGTTTTTTAAGCTTCTAAAACCTGAATTGTTTCTCACAGCCTCAGGGGGATGAGAAGATGCTTTGGGGTTTATGATGCTATTGTTCCTTGATTTATTTCAATCTTATAGTATGAATATTTTTATTATAATGATACAATATTGTTTATTGCCATGTGGTCGGAATGCAGTGGCACATAAATATCTAATAAATAAATAATAATCATTCCATTTGTCAGAGTTTACATACACGCCCACCGTGATGATCTGATTTTTTTTAATACTACCCACAAAATGCACCAGTATGATCACATTAGAAATTATGCTAGTTCACTGCTGTAGTTATTTGCTGAAAATTAATTCACAATAGATTGTCCCATTTTCTTTGAAAATGGTTGACAGTGAATGAAAAATGCTACCTTTGTCACCATTAAAAATGATTTAACAGGCAACAGAAGATCTTTCAGGGAACGCAGAGCTAGAGATGGAATACTGATTTACAGCATGTGAAATAGTGCAGCACTACATATATGTCGAGAACCAATTTGGTATAATGGTTAAGGCACCGGGAGACTGTGAATTCTAGTCCAGCCTTAGACGCAAAACCAGCTGGGACACTTTGGGCCAGCCACTCTCTCTCAGCCCTAGGAAAGAGGCAAGGGCAAACTACTTCCAAAATCTTGCCAAGAAAACTGCAGGGACTTGTCCAGACAGTCACCAGGAGTCAAGACTGGCTTAAAGACACAGACACCTCTATAGATCTTATCGAAGAACTCCCCCTTTCTGTATTTGAAATCACTCAGGCTAAGAATATTTTTTGTTGGTAATCAGACAAAGTCTTAACATTTAATGAAAAGCTAGCTCTTAGAAATCACACCAAATGGACCTACACGCCTTCAATTTCATCACAAAGTAGACTGCAGGTATTTCTGATTGCTTTTAAGGGTGTTTCAGAGACTGCCTTCCATTTGACATTCCTTTGTTTTTCCCCCTTGTTTTTTTTAATGCAACATCAACAACAAAGAGTTGAGCAGGGCAAAATAAAATAAGTCAACAATGCATTTTGATTGATTTGTCAACCTTCAGGTATATTAAATCTCTTCCCTTAATGCATCTCAAAGAACTAAGTGGGCAACATGTTTGACTAGAATAGAAAATCTTTTTATTCTTCCATTTTAAGAGTCTGAGGAGTTGTATCCCCCAGACTATGAAACAACTTAACCACTGGTTTCCTCTACTTAATGCAACATTTAGAAATTATAGCAATAAAGTAGCATGTTTATCTAAAGTGGATACTCCTATTCTTCCACAAAGGCTACGCTATATATACATTTTTCCTTGCACCAGTTTCTTAGCAACAAGACAAAGGCATCTATGAAACTGTTTTTAAGTTTTTTGTCTACAACTGAGTATGCAGAGGCAAATTCTGAAGACAACAATTCAATAATACTCATTACTTGCAAATAAATAAATAAATGTGAGTGTATGAACAAAAACCTCCTAGTTTCTTCTTTCTATAAGAATAAAGCAGTAATAAATGATGAGTACATGTGTGTGTGTGTGTGTATACAGAAAGTTTTTCAGACAGACTGGTCTGATTGATTATACCTTGGCATTTTAACTGCTATACTGCAGTTCTACTTTTTTTTCTTTTACAATCTCTTTTGCCTTGCAGCCCCCCAACTAGGGACATTAAGCAGGCTCAAGTCGCTACTGCGAAACATTTACAAATCCAGATTTCTTTTTTTCTTGACAAAGAATTAAAGAATTAAGTTGGGAGACTAATATGGCCATTTCGAGCTCATTCTGCTCTCATCAGTTAGCCACACCCTTTATGGGATTCGAACCTGGGCAGTTTACATACTAGGCAGTGATTAAGTCTCCCAACTTAATTCTTTAAATTCTGTAAATGTTTCGCAGTAGCGACTTGAGCCTGCTTAATGCCCCTAGTTGGGGGGCTGCAAGGCAAAAGAGATTGTAAAAAAAAAGTATATATAATAAAAAAGTAACCTATACCATAACATCACTGAGAGAGGAAAAAAATATATCTTTATGGAAGAATACACGAAAGCATTTGTTGTTGTTTGAAATGAAGGCTGCTTGTCAAATAAAGACATTTCTTTGCATTTTTGAAGATCCAGTGACCCCTGGTGATACTTAGGAGGGCCAAATGATGCTTGAGAAGCATTGATTTGCATGACTGCTCCTAGGAATACTTCTTTATCTTACTTTATTATCATTGGTTTGCTTCAACTATTTTTGGGAATGAATTTCCAGGTTAATTGTTGTGCAAAATGTACTCAGACACAGAATTCTACCCAATGCCCTCAGCTCCAACATTAAAGATGGAATTCTGGAATAATAGCAGAGGAAATATATTAATGTTTCAACATCCTCTAGAGTTGGAATCCAGATAAGTCACACCAGGGTCTAGGAATAATCATGCCCAATAGCCAAATAACCAAAAAGATTCCTCTTCTACCACAAACTCTACCTCTATTGTGATTTAAACAAATCAACAAAAATCCAAATGTAAAATGGTCTTTTTAATTACTAAATTAAGACAGTTAAACATTTAAAAACCATAAACTTGCAAATAAAACAATAACAAAATGTAATTAAGATCATAGCATTATTTTAAAAAAAACTTAGAAGTAGAAAGGACTGGGTTTTTTGTTTCTTTTTGGTTAGAAAAAAGGAAGGAAAGAATTCAAGGTCAATAGAGACAACTGAAGAAGTAATACTTTTGTGCATCCCACTGCTCTCATTTCCCAGAAAAGATGTGCATAGTAATTCTACTGAAACACTTGCAGACATATTGAAAGTAATTTCATTAGCAGTACAGGATATTTAAAACACCTAAATGATGATGGAAAATGGTACACAGAAAAGATATTCTAGCTGAGCTCGATGAATGAAAAAGCATCTCAATATGACTAAAAGGCTATGAGGTTGAGACTATTGCATGGGGTTACAATGTTTATTATTTTTTTAAAAAAAATCAGAAAATCCAGTTTACATATTTTGATACACAAAAGCACTTGCAGTTTCAACCTTCCGGTCCAGGCAGGGATACTTTTCATTAAGTCTGTTTTAATTCTGATCCCAAAATCAAACGACACACTTGGCAAATGTTGTTGAAATGTTGTACATGAGTTTTGAAAGATCAAAACTTACAACAACCTATGGGTATATAGTAAAACCAAACAGTGCAATCCAATTTAAAAAGTCATGCTGGGCAAAAGCCAAATATCCAGTCACTGGTTTTGGAATCATCACCAGTGTTCAATGTCCCGAGGGAAATCTTTCTGGGTGCTTCAGCATTATGGAATCCGTTTCTGAAATGAATTTCCTTTAGCTATAGCACCTGTGGACTATATATACAGGTATGTATATATTTTACATATTTCTATATATAAAAGAAACAAAACAAAACCCCCAAACACTGGTCCTCATTTTATTGTGTTAGAACATGAAAAAATGTAGACAAAAAGAGGCCACTTCTGGAAAATAATACTTTAGTTGAATCAGGAGAAAACTAGTTAAAATCACATAATTCTGCATTTTTTTTTAAAAAAAGGAAAGCACTAGGATAAATTATTGGCACTGAATTACTATTTACAGTGAACAAAGATTTTGCAGTTTACATAACATTAAAACAATGCAGTTTCAAAGTCTTTGATTAAGAAAAAAACCCCCACGTGTTCACTTTTCTGTTCAGAGAAGATATTCAGATTTTTAGGACACACAGTTCTAGAAGTTCTCATCTTCTGGCTTCAGTATATTTGGTGCTCTAAGATTACAGCCTTGAACCATTCAGCCTATGTCAATTGCAAATGGAACACCTGGTAACCGGTCTGCACAGCCCCCCCCCCCCAAATTACAGGTTATCACCTGGCTGGTACTGTGGTTCAGTTGCCGTAAAGTAGTCTTCCAGGAAACCCTGTAAGTACTCAAAAGTTGGGCGCTCTTCTGGGTCTTTTTTCCAGCAATGGATCATGAGCTCATGTAGAGAGATTGGGCAATCCTGAGGACATGGCATTCTGTATCCTCTTTCTACCTGCTCTAGGACTTCACGATTATTCATACCTAGGAAACATAAACAATTTTGAAGAGGTGTAAATTCTGAGTAGGCTTGCAATATATTTTTTATTTGAATTTGGGGTATTTATCTGGAAAATGGATTCCCCCCCCCCCCAAATGTTTATGAATGTCTTATCGGATAGGCATCCCTAACCATCTACTACTATGTCACGTGTGCTTCATGTAATTGATCTTAAATGATCAATGTTTCCTGGCTGAATCCTGAAATAGTCAAAGGTAGCATATCAGGAACCTATCACTTATTTGCATCTATCAATTAAAAAGTTTGATATAACTTTGGTTCTCTTTTCTTTAATTTGTATTTTTCTCTTACCTGGATATGGAACTCTCCCTTTTGTTACTAATTCTGTTAGTAATATCCCAAAGGACCAAACATCAGATTTTATTGTAAATCTTCCATATAATGCAGCTTCCGGAGCTGTCCACTTGATAGGAAATTTTGCACCTGAGAGAACACAGAAATTATCAGTAATCCTTTCGTTGTGAATTAATGGCTAATAAAACTATATAATTCAAGAGAATGAAAAAAAAATTCACTACATTCTTGTGAAAAACCTCATCTTATATTTTAATAAATGATGCAATTTGAAATATAATTCAAACCTTTTTATCTGACACTGAAGTCTGAATGCTAACCTTTCTGTTTCTACATCTCTTAAGACATATAAATTCTGATTGTATTTTCAAATAAATGAAAGGCAGAACTTTCAAATAGTGTATTTGTATTCATGGAAACCACATTTATGTTCTAGGATCTAAATGCTCAATTACTTAAGCGTTCCAATTGTTTTCATGATTATTAAGTCTACAGCCCCATTATACACCAACTGTGATTTGGTTAGACTTCGAAGTGTTTTGCTGTAGCTCTAAATCTTTATTATGGCTGGTTGCACAGTCAGCCAGATGTTTGGATTGGATTTGGCATTTTTATTGTCTATCCTTAGGATACACAGATACTATTGTTTGATGGTGTTAAAGGTATTATTGCAGGATATAAACTGTTCCAAATAAAGCTGCCTTTTGCAACTGACTGATGGTGATTTTGTCAATGCCAATGGTGTTCAATGGTGCCCCAGAAGTTAGGGGACAGCATCCAAGTGCCTATTATTATTATTGCTTTCTTTTGCCACAGCCGCTCTACTTTATTTGCAGGATCTTTGTATTTTGTTGTCTTCTCCAATTCTTTCTCTTCTCTTCTGCAGTCTTCAAGAACTGCAATGTCCACTTATCCAGACTTTTGGCTTTATTGATAATTGTTAAGTCCAAGATGTTATGCGGCAGATGCTTGTCTGTCTGAATTCTAAAGTACCGGAGCACTTTAGCTTCTTCATTTTCTATTACTTGGTTTATTTTGTGTTACCAATAATTGTTGCTTGCAGGCAGATAATATTTATTGCAGATATTCCAATGCACCATTGCTATGCTATGCTATATGCCAGTGGTGGCGAACCTATGGCACGCGTGCCAGAGGCGGCACTCAGAGCCCTCTCTGTGGGCACACGAGCCATGCCCCGGAGATGCCAACTGTCTCTCTTCAACCAGCCACCCACTAACTCGCTGAGGTCCCACGTGGACGGATGCATCCCAGCACCCATGCGCTCACTGCCCTCTGTGTGTGTGGGCTGATGATGTCAGGCAGCAGCCGCCCCGTCTCGCCTTGCCCTGCGACAATGGCACCCCCACCCTGCCTCACCTCACCCCGCAGGACGAGCTTCCTGCCCACTGCCCCACCCACCAGAGATGCCCTGGATCTCCCCCAACCCTGCCTGGCCCCCATAGGCGTCCCTTCCCAGGAGCAACATTGAGCTGGCCACGCCCACCCAGGCCATACCCACCCATCTGCCATGACCACTGTAGCCACACCCAGCAGGCCATGCCCACACGGCACCTGGCGATACATAAGTGGGTTTTGGGTTGCAGTTTGGGCACTCAGTCTCTAAAAGGTTCGCCATCACTGCTATATGCTGTTGTTTGCAACCAGTCTATGTGATCTTCTTGCAGCAGCTAATTATGTGGGTATTATTGTTATTATTATTTTGCATTGTAGTCAGTAAAGTAATAAGTATCACTTAGTTTTAAGCGAGTCAACAATTAAACCTGGCTTTCTGTTCTGCTGGAGAATTTAGCTTTGTGCCAAATATAAAAGAGGAATTGAAAGAGGAAAGCAGAAAAATGTTGATACACCTAGGAGCAGGAAACCAATTAATTCTGATAAAAACAACACTATTATCTGCTGGAGCACTTGAGTAAAATGCTTACTTAACATTCAGGAGGTACTAGTGACTGATATTTTTCAATATTGCAAACTATTCACATGATATCAAAGATACATGTCTGTTGACTTAGGTCAGGGGTAGGCAACCTTGGCTCTTTTATGATTCGTGGACTTCAACTCCCAGAATTCCTGAGCCAGCTATGCTGGCTCAAGAATTCTGGGAGTTGAAGTCCACGAGTCATAAAAGAGCCAAGATTGCCTACCCCTGGCTTAGGTGATTTGCGGTTCTAATATCTGGGAAAAACATACATCATTATCAAGAGTAATTTTTCAAAGAATGAATACAAAGATTTATACCATTCCTAGGTAAAATGAGCTGTAAAGCTGTTTGAATTTGCATTGTTTCAAATTTGAAACAATTTGACAAAACAAAAAATTCTTTTCAAATTAAAAATGGTTTATCTTGGGTGTGAAACAATTGCTTCGAGCATGAAATGGGAAGTAGTCCTTGTTTTATGACCGTTTAACAGTGGTCCAGATTATGACAACTACAATATGGATGATTTATGGCCTATAACGCACTTCTGGCCATCGTAAAATGTTCCATCCTCCCCCTCCCGTCACATGATCATGATCTGGGTGCTTGGCTAGGTACTGTTTGCATTTATGACCGTTTGCCTCCCCCCTCCCCTAACATGTGACTGCCATTTGCAATCTTTTCTGCTGGTCTCCCCAAGAAAATCAAGAGGAGGAAGGGAAAGTTCTCCAGTGGGCTGCTGAAATGGAGCTCAGAAGATCTGAGTTTTGTTCCTGCAGCAATTTTGGAAGAAAGGTTCTCTTGACCACGAAATTTTTCTGAAATGCTTTAAAGCAGGGGTCTTCAAACTTGGCCCTTTTATGACTTGTGGACTTCAACTCCCAGAATTCCTCAGCCAGGCACACTGGCTGAGGAATTCTGGGAGTTGAAGTCCTCAAGTCATAAAAGGACCAAGTTTGAAGACCCCTGCTTTAAAGATTTCAAAACCTGCTCGAAACCGGTTTTTATGTTCAAAATGGTTTATTTCATTTGTCAAAATGGCCATTTTGAATTCAAAATACTTTGTACATTCTTATTAGGGAGGTTCTTTGAATTTTCTTGCTGGCTTTAACTGAAGTTACTAGAAAACCATGTCTGTCCTACAGCTATATTAGCACAGTAGAAACCAAGTAATATGTGTAGAGATCATCCTAATAAGCATTTGAGAAAGCATTTTTCCATTTATGCTAAATCTTCCTGTTTTATTAAACAAAATCTATCAGTTTGCCATTTCACACACAAGACAACCCCCCCTCCCAAGTATATCCTCCTTTATGTTTGTAATTATCAAAGTTACTATAAGTAACAGGAGAAGCCTGTTAGTAATATTCCCCCCAAAATATTATTTGTTCATAGCTTAAATTAATACAAAGAAATTCTAAGCACCTCACACACAGCAGATCCTCAGAATATATCCAATTTTCCCACTATTTTAGCTAACTCCAGCTATTTCTGCACTCACTGAAAATTCCATTAACTATTTTATACAAACACATAGCCTTTCAATACCTTAACCTTCAATCCCATCTGCACAACTTTTTAGCCTTTCTAGGAAACATCTAGAAATATTTTAACATGACTTGATCACTTATTTGTTGTTATCAAATTTGGGATAGGGCAGGCTACTGAAGACAGAATTCAGAAATTGCTTTTATTTGCCAATGTACATCCGTCTCTTGCTTATGATTTATGGAAAATAATGTTGATAATCCTATTAGTTCTCAATTTACAGTCAGCAAAGCTGTTAGAAATCAATACAAAAAGAATCAGATTGAACTCAAAATTTTATGTCCTGCAAATTAACTGGGGATGGGTATCTTAACACCATCTGCTTCCTTTACTAATTTCTTCAGGGATCCAAGAAAGCTTTTTGGGGGATGGAAGAGGCAGGAAGTCAGCCCAGTTAATGTCAAGTACACAATACTGGTAAGAAAAAGAAAAGTCTGTTTTTGAAATTCAGCCTTCAACTCTTCACAGGGGTGAGCACTTCCTGTCTCTAGAAGAACTGCCAGCCTGCATCACAATTTCCCAGCCAGTTTTCAGTTCCTGCATGTCAAAACCCTACAGGAACACTAACTAGTTAGATAAACAATCAGTCCTCTAGCTGCACCCCAGTGGAAAATCTATGTGGTGGAGTCATGGAAAAAGAAGGAGGGAGGGACGGAGGGAGAATGCATGCCAGAGTCTCTAGAATTAAGATACCAAGAGCAGCAGAAAAGCATTTGATTGCTATATTTTAAATATAAAGAACATATTTAGAGAAACTCTTGCTTCTTAAATGTGGTCTATACTATACGAAGAGTAAACTAAAAATGTAACTATGACTGTCTCTAATATACCTACAGTAGCTAGTTTACAGTTTTCACCATGAAAAGATTTCCTATTACATACTGTACGGGTGAATTTTCTAGAATGCAATCAATGCATTTTAACTTTATTTTAATAGGAAATCACTTAGTTCCATTTGTGGAGGTCATAATTGACCAATAACGTATGAAGATCTAGTACAAATAATTAGGATTCCTCATTTTTTTTAAATTGAAGTCACTGTGAGATAACATCTATTCCAAGATGTGTCCAAAGGCAGCAGATATTTTTAAAGGGGTTCCACCCCCCCCCCACTTACAGAAACTACTGATCATGAAAGTTGGTAATAAATTATTTGTCTTGCTTAAATGTTTGGAGTTATTTGTTTTAAACATTTGGAGATAGTAAGCTGTTCTTATTGCAATCTCTCTCGCTGAAGACTATTATTATTTCCAAATTTGCCAGAGAGGTGATATGTACCTCTCCTATCCAGTGGACTTGGCAATAACAATTCCTTATCTCAAAAATTAAATGCAGATTACATTTAAAACAAGTATGCAACAGAAAGCCATGACTTGGGGACATGTCTGTCTGCACATAATATTCACAACTACAACAATGGTTATATTGGCCACTCATCCTACCTTGTCTGGCTGTGTATTCATTGTCTTCAATTAATCTTGCTAATCCAAAGTCAGCAATTTTGCATATTAGACCATTCCCCACCAGGATGTTTGCAGAACGCAGATCTCTGTGTATGTAATTCATTCGCTCTATATAAGCCATGCCTGCAGCAACCTGTTTAATTCACAATACATGACATACACTAGTTAATAAATACAACTTGCTTTCACATTCACACCTTTGATTAATGACACATTCATATTTACCTGTGCTGCCATGTCTACCAGATTTGGCAATTTCAGAGCTCTTCCTTCACCATCTTTTAGGAAATCTAGCAAACTTCCTGCAATACAAATAAAAACAAGTTCTTAAATAATATTTCTTTCAAAATAGTTAAAAATTACATTCCTAAACAATGTTAAAATAATAATAATAATAATAATAATAACAACAACAACAACAACAACAACAACAACAATAAAATAGAAATTTGCTCTTCCCAAGCAATGGGGATTAAGGGAAAGCTGGAAATTTTTTTAAAAAATATTTTATTAGATTTTATAAGGGTGGGGAAGGGATAAGATCGGTGAGGGTGTTGGATGGGGTTGGGGAGTGAGGTTGGGATAAGGGTAGGGAAGGATACAATAGTGGGGTTACCCCCAACAGTAATTCATCACTTTAGCAAGCAGACTGTCATTCAGGTACAAATGTTAAATAATAGTAATTAAAATAATACTAAAAAGTTATAATCACAAAAATAATTGTAATCATAAAAATTAAAAGTTAGTCAATAAATGTTGTTTATCCTACTAGCTAAACAGTTACTATAATATTGAATAATTATAATCACTAATAATAACAATAGCTGGAAATTTAATCCATTATCAAAGGAACTCCAAACCATTTCTCCTTGTTTTTTTATTTTTCCCAAAATCTCTTATACATATGATGTATCAGGTATAGACTTATTTTTCCAATGTTGTGTTAATATTTTTTTAGCCATTCTCCATATACAAATATAATTCAAAGTTTTAAAATCAGCAATGATTTACAGTCTATCAAAATAATTTTATGGATCATAACTCTGGAAAACCTATACTACATATTTACTTATACTTTGCATATGTCTCCAAAGATCAAAATCACACAAGTCATGGAAAATGTCAGGTTAATATAAAATTCAACCTATTGAATTCTAGATTTAATATATCATCCCACTTCAGAGGTAAGAACGTGTTTGATAATGGGGCCCAACTTTTTTATTTGTTTTGGGACTAGCAATAGATAACAGGAAGTGATATAGTGGTACCGGTATGCCTGAATTTCTAGGAATATGTGTTAAGAGATTAGGGAGGGTTGGTTTTGGTGATTAAAGCTGAAGACACTTTAAATACACTTGGAGTAATTCTTAACTTCTGGCAACTGCCTGGAAAGTCCTGAAGTTTTCTTGGCAACATTTTTGTAAGTGGTTTTTCATTATCTTCTTCCTAAGGCTGAGGTAGCCGAAGATAGCCCAAACTGGATGTAAGAAAGGACCAGAATCCACACTTTCTATTTACTAGCTTGCCATCTTTAACCAGACCATTCATCTGGTTCTCTCCTCTGCTACCCCCTCCCCGTTTACATACAACAGGGATATTTTGTGTGTTGATGATCTCCTGCCAAAAATATTGCAATTTCTCATGGCTTAAGGAATCACAAGGAATTCACTACTGAACTATGGAAAAGAGCAGAAAATGTTACCCTTTGTCTAAAGCACCATTAGATGTACATAGGTTAAGTTCCACATAACTTTGGATTCAGGTCCTTTTCCCCTCCAATATAGTTATTCTACCCCTAAACAAAAATAATTCTCTATAATGCAGAACAGAAGAGATAATGTTCCTGGAAAACTGATTTACTGAAGTAAATACCAGGTGGGAAAAAAAAAGTACATTCTGTAATGTCAGTTTGCATAAGGCAAGCACAACAAAAAGGAATCCTTATTAGGACAAAGCATTCTATATTATTATTTAAAGAAGCAGCAGTGCCCAGTCATGAGTAAATCATTAAAAGGAACTCTTCCCACCACTTTATCATCTGCACAGAACTTTTGTTTAGATAATATATTTAAAGAGTAAGTTCAGAATGCTTACTTAAGCATTTCTGGAGGGAGAAAGTAGTTTGATCACACAGCAATGCTGAGCTCAGCAAATTCATGAAGCCAGGATATAATTACTTTAGGATGTGGAAATCAACAGCCCTTGCCATTTAAGGGAGAGTAAGATGCAATAATATATAAACATTTTGAGATATTGTGATAACAGCCTGGTATGAATTGTCAAATAGGATCGGAAGAGTGGAAAAGAAAAAGGACCATCTTGAAATATTTCTGTGAAAGGTCATCACAAAGCTATAAAAAAGGAAGTAAGTAAAAAATATAATAGTTCTGGATATTCTCAGAAAAATACTGAAATGTGAAATTACTGGGAAATTCTGGTATTGTCTGGAAAGGCCTTAACTATTCTATCTGGATCATGTCAATAATTTCCAAAAATGTCATTTTTAGTGCCTGTGGATTAGATACCTTGGATACTAGTCAGTCCCCTCAAATCTTTGTGACTCCAGTCAAAGAGACAATGCTAACTTTTGAAGTTCAAACCATGGGTATTTGAGAATTTGGATATAGGAGGCAAACAGTTATGACCACAGGAATCTATGGATATTTAATTAAGGTTCTTGTCCAATATAAACTTCTAAGTAATATATGAGGGAATGTTCAATCCTTTTACTCACACAATCTTTTTTGTTCAGAATCATAATAGAACCATCGATGTTCAGAAAAAGGAATGCAATATACAGTATTGAATACCAGATCATTCAAAATATAAAAAACACTAAAAAAGAAAAACAAAAATTGCTCTAAAAAGTTCTGAGTGATCTTAAATGATACAGAAAACTGAGTCACTAATGTGAAGATACAATTAAAATACATAAAGAACTTTATTTTCAACAATTTAAAATTGGATGTAAAACACACAAAATCTCTGCTAGATTTTTACTCAGAATGAAGCATAATAAAGAAGATACAAGTGAAAGGATTTTATAAAGGAATAAACCAGATTTTGGATATTGCAGCTCAAACAGATTTTATATTGTCTTTCAGTAAGCAACTAAAATGGTGAGGGCATGAAGAAAGAGAAGTAGTTTTAATTCTTTGGTGGCAGTAAAACCTTTTTGTGTGGTTGGGGAGATCTTTCTAGTATTACAAGGAAATCTTAATTCTTTATTCCTTACCTTTATTTACCTTATCAGTAATTTCTAACCCTTATGTTCCCTCTTCCTACTCTAACACCATAAATATTACACCACGATGGCTCTTAAGAGTTGGAAAGAATTCTAGAGGCAATGTGGCATGTTGTAATGCCTTATCATCTCATTATATTTGACATAGGATACTTTGTCAAAAAATATCTGCTTGTTATATTCAGATACGGAAACATACATGCTATTTACAAAGATTTTATAGGTTTGATGGCAAGAATCTAGTTAAGAAAAAGGTGTAATTATAGGTAGGACTTTACATTTAATGAAATTATAGTAAGTGATCAATTTCTGTATGCTGCAAAACCATTTTATGTTATCCTCTTTTCAGTTCACCAATTACATTTTAAAAGGGAAAGAATTCTAGAAGCTATGCCCTACATGCTTTCTCTACATTGTTTAATTATTATTGCAGTGGTTTGAGGGGTTGGGTTTTCATTTATGCATTACTATTTATTTTCTGTTTTACTGCTAACTTCCAAGAATCAATTGGTATAAACATTGTATAATTAATTAAATACAAGATAGCCTAATAGCACAGTTAATTTGCATTCCGCAATCTATTGAGTACACATGCTTCTTATCTTACCTTTACCCATATATTCTGTGACAATGTAGATGGGTTCTTCTGACACCACAGCATAAAGTTGGACCAGTTTGTCATGCTTTAGCTTTTTCATGATCTGGGCTTCTTCCAGGAATGATTCTGGGGACATAGTGCCAGGCTTCAAGGTCTTTATTGCCACTTTAGTATTCCCATTCCAAGTACCTATTACCAGATGGATAGATAAATAAATAAATTTTACACATGCCTGACTGAGAGCTAAATTACAGAATGTTATTTGCAGATATTACAGCAGTCTTTCCCAATCTGATATCCTCCAAATGCGTTGCCTTTAAACCAGGGGTCCCCAACCCCCGGTCTGTGGACCGGCACCGGTTTGCAGCATGCCAGCAAGTGGGCCACACAAACAAGAAAAGCTCCATCCCTGGGATGCTGGCAGTATTGAAAACCACACACACACACATCCGGTCCGCGAAAAAAAACCTTTCTCCATGGCACCAGTCCCTGGTGCCCAAAAGGTTGGGGATCTCTGCTTTAAATTGTCAGAATCCTTAGCCACAGTTCTGAAGAGCACCAAATTAGGGAAGGCTGCTGTGATACAGAAAATGAGTTGGAAAGATCAATCTGTAAATGTTACATATAAGAAGCAGTGAGCACTAATGCAGCTGCAGAACACTGGTGATCCAAAACTACTTTAAGTTAGGTTCATCCTCTACAGTCGAAAGAGGGATGACAAACATGACAAACGTGTCTTAATGACTTAGCTCATTGGGTGACATAGAACAAGGTACTTGAGGCAAATGCATTTCACAAAGCTATTGCCCAGCCAAGATATAGCACCAAGCTCCTGGGAAGTGGGGTGGAGGGAATGAATTCACCTTGATTAGAAAGTGAATAAATTTATTGGGCTGAAATGTATTGATAAATTATCTTCTGCTAGAATTGCTCTCATTTATTTTGAAAAGTCATTATAAAGAAACCTCTTTCTACTGGAGAAAGCCTGCAAATAGGGTCAAAGCAACACACAACATACTATTCTTTACAATATAAATAATAGTAAACCATGAAGGTAAGGATCCCATGGACTCTTGTCAAACTAATTCTCCTGTGAACTAGAAATTATGAGGATGCCAATGAATAAGTAAATTCATATATCAGCTAAAATAATTCTTGTGATTTTATCTGTCTACAGCTCAGAACTGTTTAATTTCATAATCATTGATGGAACTATTTTCATTAATATTCCAAAACTGGAAACTTTTATTTTTAAGGGAGGAAAAAAAAGATCGAAAGCTAGACAAATGTTAACATAATGAATTCATTTTCACATATACTGTAGAGTTGAAAATTCTCATATTAAAAGAAATCTATAGCCATGTGGCTCAGCTACTTATTGGTAATTAGCAAGAGGCTGTCCCAATAATTGGAGCATATGGAAGCTATTTTGCTATAAGGGAAAGGTAAAGAGTGAGCCCAGAAAAAAAGCCCTGTTTGAGATTAAATCTTGGTTACTATATCAAAAGGATTTGCATCCCAAATTGCAAGACACTTTATTTGGTCTCATAAATGCTAACAAGAGCTCCAAGAAAAGAACCAACACACAATAATGGTGTGGACTATACCCAATCTTGGACCATATAAATAATAGTGAAACTTGGGAATTGGAAACCTCCAGTTCTAGAATCAACAGTGCATTTTTTACAATATAACACAGATATATAACAATATACTGTTATATATATATAAAAACATATAATGTTTTCTTTCTGTGCTTGTGTGGCCTAGAAAGTCTTCTCTACTCGAGGGCCTTATCAAATGCTAGTCTTAGGTAACAATATTAGTTCATTGGAACTTGTGTTCACAATGCCTTTCTTATTCTGAAATTGGCTTCTTTCCTGATGGCTTTAAGCATCCATCCCAAACCAGAACAGTTTTCGCTGCCTTACCACTCCACACTTCAGCGAAACAGCCCTGACCCAGCTTCTTTTCCAGAAACAATGAATCTCGTGCAACTTCCCATGCATCCTTAGCCAATCCGACAGTTTGTGGAGTATAATTCGATGCAATCACAGTTAAGTTAAAACATAAACCATCAGCTTTCTCTACAGAAAGGGAAATTAATAAAAGAAATACTTATAATTCACAGAGTAATTGCATGCACAGGGAAAGATGGAAGGTGCTTTTTTCCCTCATTAGTTATTTGTGTTCAGTAGTCATTCAATTCTAGATAGTAGGCTTATAATAAATATTTGCATAGCTGTCTGATTAATACATTTGAAAACTGAAGGCAGCTTGTCAAAATTAGCAACCAAACTCAGGAAGCCCATTGCATTATCTGTCTTTTTATCATTTTTTTTTAAAAAAAATGATAATTTTTCAGAGAGGACCATATTACTCTACGTAATGGAAGACATCTGCTCTTCCTGATACTGATCCCTATTACTTTTGCTTCCACCTTCCATCTTCCACACCTATCCCCAATAGCTGGGGGCTGACTAAATAAGTTAAAATATTGTCTCAGCATACCCATCCATACTTCCCCAAACTGCCCATTTCCCAGTCTCTTGATCAACTGTAGTGATTCTCGTGGAATTTCCCAGACATCTTTGGTTTTGACAGACAGGTCAGTAAGCCTTGGCATTCCTTTATGACAAGGGACTACTAAGCGGCAGCAAAGACCCGCAGCTCTCTCTGATGAAGGAGAAGTAAAGCACAGGGAAAGAAAAGAGTAACAAACATCAAACAAACATAGCAAGCACAGAAGAAAAGAACAAACAAAAATAGTGCTAGTAAACAAGTTAAAATGTCTGTTAGTAGCATTCCAAAATAAGCTTGATGATTAATCATCCTGCATACCACCGGAGGTGAGAACTGCTTCCATCCTTTTGGAAGACTATGAAAACCTGGCTTTGCTGGTTCGCCTGGGGCCCCAAGGGGGCGCTCTCACCACTGGAAGTGGCTGACAGGATAAAAAGACCTCACCCCCCCCCCCCATCCGTATCTTAGCTCTGGTTTCAGTATAGTTTTCAAATCTTAATCTGTGTAGTTTTAATGTTTTAGTATTTTAATTAACTTGTTAATTAAAAATTAATTTGTAAACCACCCAGAGTCACCTTATAGAGGAGATAGATGGGTGGTATAAATATTTAATAAATAAATAAAAAATAAATCCCCAAAATTTGTACTTCTATTCATTCTGAGACTTCTGTATTGATGCTCTCTTTTGCTTAGCTTGAATAGGAGACTGAGATGCGTACAAAATGTAAAGAGATCAGACAAGATTCTTAGCCTAATCCTAATTTCTGCTTTGCGTTTACCTTAGAGTGTTTTTCACAGCTTCCCTGGAATGTCATATGTTAATAAGAATGACTCTTTAACAGAAATCACTGCTCTCATTCAACTTCATTCTAGGTTACTGTTTCTTTCTTAATTGATTGGAAGGGCACTCAGATGTTGGCATGACCTATTCCAACCTCTCCCCTTTTCTCTCTATTATATTTCTATTATATTCCTTTCTACTCCTCTATTACCACTGTTAGCAGGGGCACTAGTATTAATTTTAACTACATTTTAAAGTTAATCGGGATCTCAGATTTGAGAAGAAATGGGAGACGTATACAAATGTGAAAAAAATTCAGTATACTCCACATAAAGTTTTCCTTTCCTTTTAAACATATATGGGCATATAAATATTTTATCTTCATTACATAGTATAAGAAGGAAATGTAATTGAACAATACAGGTATGAAAAACTGACTTTGTGATCATTTATTCACCAAAAAATTAACAGAAATGCCATTCCCTTCTGTGGAAAAAGTAAATATACCCTTGGCTCTGATATCTGCTACTTTCCCCCTTTGGCAGGAATAACCTCAAGTACAGCCTTTTTTGCAACTATCTGCCAGTCTCTGACATCAACTGGGAGGGATTTTTTTCCTACTCCTCCATACAGAATTTTTTAATCTATAATATGTTTGAGGGGCTTCTTGTGGGAGCAGCTTGTGTCAAATCAGCCCATATCATTTCAGTGGATTTTAGATCCAGGCCATTCCAGAACCCTCCACTTCTTTTTTTCAGCCCTTCCTTGGTGTATTTACTAGAGTGTTTAGGATCACTGCCATGTTGCAAGGGTCACTTTTGGCTGAGCATCAGTCTTCTGACAGATCGTCCCACATTATTTCTGTACAAGGAAGAATTCATAGTGATTCTATAATAGGGAGTTGCCCAAACCCTGATGAAACAAACCAGCCCCAAACCCTAACATTTTTCTTTGGTTTCCACCAAACATGACTTTTGGTACTGTGGTCAAATAACTCTATTTCTGCCTTAGCTATCCAGAGTACATTGTTCCATAAATCTCATTCTTTGCCTAGGTGCCCATAAGCAAACTGTAGTCTTGCCCTTGTGTCTTTGGACAGCAAAGGTTTCCTTCCAGCATACCCCCCACATAGATCTAATTTGTGAAGGTTTTTTCTAATGGTAGACTCTTGCACATTGAGGAGAGCTACCTGTATATCCCATGATGAAATTTTGGGGATCTTAGAGACTACTATCAACCTTGTGTATTCTGCTCTCAGGTTGCTGGCCTGGCCAAGTTGGCAGTTGTTGGCAATCTTCTCCATTCTAGATGATCTTCTAGACCAGAGGTGTCAAACTGCTGGCCCGCGGGCTGGATGTGTCATGCTGAAACCGCGCCCACCCCATTGCCGGCAATGGAAAAAAAGTCGTGATACGTCACAATACGTCATGTGACGTTGTGAGTTTGACACTCCTGTTCTAGACAGTAGAATGATTGATGGCTAATTGTTTGGCAATCTTTTAAAATTCCTTCCCAAATCCATTGACATATACCGTATTTTTTCGTCTATAAGACGCACCCTTGTATAAGACACTCCGGCATGCGAGTTTCTCCCCGCCGATCAGCTGTTTGGCGGAATGCCGAACAGCTGAGCTGGCAAATCTGGAAGTTCGGCTGGCCGACTATCTTGCTCCCTCCCCCCTCCTGTTAGTGGCAAGCCCACAGGGGCTTGACACCTGCACCAGGCAGCATGGCAACCCACACAGGTAGGCCCTGGGCTGCGGAGGTTACCATTATTTTTCCGTGTATAAGACACTGCATTTGTATAAGATGCACCTGATTTTTGAACAGGGTGTTTGCAGGAAAAAATAGTGTCTTATACATGGAAAAATACAATATAATCTTCTTTCTGAATGTCTCAGAGAGCTCTTTTGATTTAGGCATAGCAATCTCACACACTTCAACAACAAAAAGCAACTCATCTAAATGAGGTTTAAATAAGACTGGTTTCTCCCAAAGCCTCTCTCATAATGTTGTTTATCTACATGTGAAATTAGCAATTATGTTTATTTAAATTATACAACAGACTACAAAATGTAAATGATTAATGTATTTGTTATATCCTCTTCCTCTATCAATATTATTGAAATGAAGATCAAATACCTATATGTTGAAATATGTTTAGAAAGGGAAAAATTCAATAGTGTGTACTTTTTCCCATTCCTATACATACTATATATGTTAAATGTTGCTAAGTAGGCACTATGCAAAAATGAAGGATGGTCACAGGGGTTATATCAGGAGTAGAAATGGAAGTTTTAAATAGGGAATGTTAAAGTTACACTTAAATTAAAATTTACTCAATCGACTCCTTAGGAATACATGTACTCTTTCCTACAACTTGGGTTTTCTTTAAAAAAGAAGGAATATTGAACAAACATCAAAGACACGAAGCCCTGAAATGGCAGATTTTTAAAGTATTTTTTTAAACTCTAGGAAAAGGCAGAGTGCCAGTCACTGTTAAGTTCAGGAATATTAGACAGTTATTTCCGAGAAGTGGAAAAAATAGTGTATATCTTCACATAATATAAGGAGACAGTACTTTCAAGTTTGTTCTGTAGGCTCCATATTGAGCTAAATATTGCAAATGGAGCAGAACTATGGAAAAGCATATGCAGATTTGATGTATCAGGAGCCAAATATATTGGCAAGTTCTGGAAGTTTGTATATTATATACACCCAACCGGTTACTTCAGTCCTGGATTCAGTTAATATATGGAGATCCTACTCCTACGCTGTCTTAGTGCTTTTCTTGCCACAGCATAAGAATAATTTCTGACACACAATCTGCTGTTTGAGAATAACTGTCTGTTTCTGATATTTCAAACTACTGGCTGGGATCAACATGCCCAGAAAGTATTCACTGAAATTGGTGAACATTTGGAGGAGAAAGACTAGGTTTTCGTCATTTACTAGAAGATACAGGGAGGGCGTCAGCTAGAGTAAACCACAGAGGCTAAAAACTAATGCAAGCATAGGAAATCCCATGAAGGGAGTCTTACATACAAGTAGTTTGCATATCTATTTCCAATATTTTTATTCTATTCTTTCATTTTTCAGTATAGTTTACATAAAAAGTTGGTGGCATTCAACAAGGAAATAAAAAAAAGCATCAGTCCAAAAAGCCATCATCTATAAATCTGAATTTTTGAAGATTATTGAATTGACATAGGCAAATAGAAAGGTTTTCATCTGACACCAAAAAGACTTGGCATCAGGTGAATGAATTGTATAATCTGGACTTCACAATCAATGAGGCTTTTCTTTCTTGTCCGGTGAATCCAAAGAAAAATTTTCAACAAAGATTATGACAGCTATCAGGTTCACATTTGATTCAGTTTTATAGATTTAAGTTACTGATTTAAATTGTGTCTGGATTAAACTTGGAGCCAACACAGTTGCTTCGTGTTGTTAGCATTTGTATTTTGATGGCAGTTCAACTACTGCCATCATAGTAAGCTATTTTGGAAACATGTAGGGCACATCATATATTCTAATAAAATATTAAAGTAGCCCGAGGCTACCACTTTCTTGTTTCATTGTTGTACCCTTCCCCAATTTCCCAGAAGAGACTTGATGTTTGCTAGAGATTCTATAGGCTGATTTATCTATCTCTTCTACTGTACTGTGACAAAATAAAGGGTTCTTAGCCTTCCTATTCTTTTTGGTAACAAGAGCCAAGCATTCTCTTTTTTCCAAATTGGACTATGGCATGACAGAATCATTTCTATCACACCTACCATGAGATTAATGAATGCTAAAAGCTGGTTAGGGTAGCAGAAACAGAGTCATAACATAAGTCTTAGATACTGTGGCATGTTTCTGAGCATGTTCAAATCATCTTGGGCCCAGTATGAACTTTTAACACTATTATCCTAAAATGTTTTTATTCATTATGTGGCCTGAATGCTTCAATAGGAACAAAACAATCTCTCAGTCAAGTCAATCTAAGTCTCTCTGTTTTTTTCACGTTATATGAAGAAGTTTAAGAGGGCAGGGGAAAGGAAAGCTGGTGGTGATTTACCAAGGTGGCTTATGAGATGAAGCAGAAAGCATTCAATGGCTGACACTAAGATTTTATTTTCTGAAGAGGAAATCCTGCTTCTTTTGTAGAGTACCTCTGTTAAAAACAGCTGGAATGGCATAATGCAAATACACAATTAGTAAAACACAATCGGTTCTTGTCAGGGTCTTAGCTGAAGATGTAATCGGCCATGACCAAAATACCCTCAACAGGCCCATCATTAATTTTAAGGACTGTCTCCTATTCACTCACTGTTCTCTGGCAATTATGGATTGCTTGATAAAACTTTCAGGCAAATCTCTAGATTGGCATTCTGGATTCTGATATCCTCTAGAACAGGGGTCCCCAACTCCCGGTCCATGGACTGGTACCAGGCCGCGGCATGCCAGCAGCCGGACTGCACAAACAAGCAAAGCCCCATTTGCGAGATGCAGGCAGCACACAAAACCATGCACCCTCCGGTCCACGGAAAAACCTCTCTCCACGTAACCGGTCCCTGGTGCCCGGTTGGGGACCTCTGCTCTAGAAATACTGCTAGGAAATTACAGATTTTGCTATCTGAACAAGTGCATAGTACCAGGTTGATAAAGGTGGATCCAGAATGATACTCCCGGAGAAGCATATACTTTTTAAGTAGCAATTTGTCCAACTAGTGACAAAAATATGTCATGGATTATTTCAATATTATGGCAGTAGAAAAAAAATGAGATAAAAAAAGAAATAAATTGTTAGACGTGGAAAGATGCAAGTGGGCAGAATACACGGAAGCAAAATAGCTTTATCTTTGATGCAATAGAGAGCAAGGAGACAACATCTGAAAGTTTCATGCAGTATTAATTAATGTATTAAACAATAGATGAAGCATAAATACATTCTATTTATGCTAGCATGCATGCTTGGGTGAGCAAAAAGAAAAGAATGCTTAATTGTGCCTGAATATAGCAGAATGAATATTGAATAATGTTACTAAAAAGATAAAATAGTTCAAAAATATTGCTAAACTGATTAACTTCTAAAACAATTTAGGAAACAGTTTAAATATTGAACATTCTTAGAATAAGTAAATATATTTCTAAGTATCTGGAATGTTAAGAACTTTGCACAGAATATTGTATGCATGCACACGATAACACACAACCATTCTAAGACATAAGGAGGCTATTTTTTAAAAAACAAATTGTCCTAGAAACATGCATTTTTACTTATTTTACAACAGTGGATAAGAGTAGATAGTAATTAGCCAATTAATACCACCTACATTCAGTGAAATGAGGAGGACAAGATTTCCCCTCCCTAGCATGCTGTGTGTTCTCAGAAGTGTTTAGGAACCTTTTAATTGGGAGAGGGCAATTAGAGTTTTTCAGGGGAAGGAGCAATTTTGTTAAATGCAAAGAAGTCTATTTGCAAGAAACTGGATATCTCCCAGTGCTAAAATAAAAACTATGGATTACTGCTCAAGATACAGGAAGTATAAATACATTTATTATTTCACCATTATTATGGTCCACAACTGTCTAAAAGAATTAAGACTGTAGTTTTATAATTTGTTTACATGTAATCCCTATTAGTATCAATATTTGTTCATTAGATGAAGAAAAAATTAGGTGTTTCTAGGAACGTGGTTCGTGGTTGTTGTTTTTAACCTAAAAACAATTCTGATAGACAGTCAGCTCTGTAATTTTAATGTGCCATATACAATCTTTGGTACAGTGTTACAGGATAAAAACTAGGACACTATGAATTGCAGTCCCGTTGGGCAACATTGGTCAATCACTTTCTCTTAGCTCAAGGAAGAAGCTAGTGGCAAACGACTTCCAAAAAACCTTGCCAAGAAAACTGCAAAGATTAATCTAGACCAGGGGTGTCAAACTCAATTTCATTGAGGGCCACATCAGCATTGCGGCTGTCTTCAGGGGGCCGGGTGGGTGTGGCCAGGGTGGGTGTGGATGGAGTGGTTGTGGCCTACTAGGTGGGTGTGGCCAGCTCTACATTGTTTGCGTCAAGGGTGCCTGTGGAGGCCTGGGCAGGAGTGGGATCTGAGGGTCTCTGGCAGAAGGGGGTGGGACCAGGACAAGTGCCAAGGCATGGTCCACTGGAGGAGCCTTGCTGTTCCTCTCAGGCCATGCAGGGGGGGGGGCTTATGGAGCTAAGACTGAATGCATTTCAGCATAAATGGCCACCACAAAATTGTACATTGGCTCCCTGCTGGCCTGGGCCAGGGCCAAGGCAGAGGGGGGCGTTCCCTCACTGTTTCCAGGATGGCTTCGCGGGCCACATGAAACCACTTTGCGGGCCGCATCTGGCTCCCGGGCCTTGTGTTTGACATGTCTGGTCTAGGCTGTTATTGTGAGTCAACAACTACACACACATAAAACTCAGCAACAAATCAACAGAACCATCTTTGCATAAATATAAGACTAAGTGTGATTGAGTCTTAGCCATATCAAGCAATGAGCATGAACTAAAGGCTTTCTATTTCAGCACTGTTTATAGCACTAGCTGTCAAATAGAGGAAAAGGGAGAAATATAATATTTGTGGAATGCTTGTACAAAATTGTACAAGATGTACTCAATCAGAATATACAAGTATAATGAGGTGATGATGAGGGTCACTGGAAGGAAGGAGGAATGTTCTGTCACTTACTTAAGATGGCATGAGCTGACAAGAGCAATTTCTTATATCTGATCCTGATTTGTTTACTGTCAGCTTCAATCCCAGCATTGCAGAGAATGATGGAACGGCTATTATGTGCATAATTTCTTAACAGAAATATGCGAATAACTACACAAAATTCAAGAACTAAGCAAGTGATTAGTCCAGGTAAAGTATCCTGATGATAGGTGAATGGAGATTTCTCTTTTTAAGTGCCATAAGTTATAGCAAAAAGGCCTATAAATTCCAGCATCATTAAAGTCAATATTACTAAGATGACTAATTAGAGTTAAACCTAGGGATAAAATGTGTGCATCCTTTAAAAAATCAGAATGTATCTTTTCTAGGAAAAAGATTTTTATTTCCCAAGAAAGACTAAATTGTGTGGCAGAATTTTGGGATGGAGAGGAGACAAATTAATTTTATCGGAAATAGAAGGGAAGCCACAGAGATATTTAAAAACTCAATACTATAATAAGGACTCCCTCACCTTTTTAGTTTCATAACTTTATGCCTCCAAGCTCTCAGAGTTCTAAAACTTAGTTTAAGATGTTAACATGAAAGCAATGGTGAATTTTGGGAAATCCAATATCAAGATGTGACTATAAGAAACCAATTTATGCATTATATTAATAGATTACCCCAAATGTACTTTTCAGATAAAGTGGTTTATATTGAAAAACCATGCAGTTATCAAAAAATTGCTAATGAAGCTTATGGAGTACAGAAATGCTCTGAGGTTTATATAATGAAAGTCATGTTTTAAAATGGTGAATCTTTATGTGTTCTGATAATATGAGACCGAAAGAAAAAAGAAGACTCTAATTTAATTAACATTTTCTATTTAACAAAAGTTAATAGGGAAGCGTTATATCAGTTGTATTTTTATTTTAAGGAAACTGAATTTATTTAACAACTGAATTTTCAAGGTTACCTGAATAATGCTGAACAAGTTGTTGAAGAGTTTCAAACTGTGCCCTGGTTGTAATATAATATCCTCCACTGTCAAGCTTACGGATTTTATAATGTTTGACATGATCACCTTTCATATCATCCCAATCACGAATGGACAATGAATAGGCACCTATAATAAGAAAAGTAAAAGCTACATGTAAATAAAAAAATAAAATATTCTAACCAGAAATAATTTAAATTATTTTGGTAGCATGTTACTATAAAAATGGAGTATCCAGTATAATTTTTTGAAATTAAGGAAAGCAGGAAAGGCCTTTTTAAAGGCACAACATTAGCAGTAATTCTGAACTGCTCAACAATTTAGAGAATCTTTTAAAATTCTTTATTCTTCATTATATACAGCTATATTCAGAATTAGATCTCCTTACCATGGTTTGCAACTTTCAATTTTTAGAGCAGAATTTAAAAAATAAGCACTTCTCAAAAGTCAACTCATAAGTTAGATGCTATTTTTCTTTATGTAAGACACAATCACACCCAGCACAGATTCTATAAACTGAATGTGATGTTTATCTAATAAGTTCTGCTGAATTTAAATTTAAATTATTATGAAAAAATAATCTTATAGTATTTTTTGTTTCATTTGAGCATGTCTCATTACCTTCACTGACGCTTTTCCTCTGCTTTTTACTTAAAACATTACCTTTGGTGGTTTCACTTTCACGAATCAAGAAGGTTCCTCGTGGATTTCCAAAGGACAGTAGCTGCCTCTCAGCATCTTTTCGTCCAAGTTTCCCAAAGTACCATCTGAACAAACATGCCAGAAACAAAAGGTTTCAAACTGGAAGCGGACTTTTTTTTAAAAAGGATTTAAAACAATTAAGCTTGCGTAAAGACCATCTGTGAAGATCATTCAAGTTTTTCTTGTATCTTCAGCACACTTATATACAGACGTATCCCAGCAGTAAAACATTGATTTCTGATAATGATGTATAAGCAGAAGGAGCCAATTACTAATAATGATTCCTGAGACATGATGAACACATAAAAAAAAGTAGTAGTCAGATTAATTTGCACACTGATAGGCATACTCTGAATGGTCCATTGACAATTCATTATGTATGATCATGTAATCCTAATCAGCAATTCAACACAAAACACTGCCACAGCATAATCCAATGCAAAAAAGTATTTCTGATAAATTATAGAAAAAATATCTATTTTTTCCGCCATGCACATGTATACATAATCCGATTGTTGTTTCTCTGTGTCATATAATATATGTGGGTATATGCATAATTCTTTCTTTCTTTCTTTCTTTCTTTCTTTCTTTCTTTCTTTCTTTCTTTTTCTTTCTTTCTTTCTTTCTTTCTTTCTTTCTTTCTTTCTTTCTTTCTTTATGTCATATTTATGTAGTGTATAACGGAGGTGGTGACCCTTTGAGAGCTGAATGCAATGAAATTTTGTTTTAATGTATGCCAATTAGTGTACATTCAAAGTGACAATAAAGTTGTTATTCTATTCTATTCTATTCTATAGATAGCACTGTAGGGCTAAGAGTTCACGTTTATTCAAATACTGTCTTTAGAAAGGCTTCAATATTTCCTTTAGTGTTCATATTTAAAAGCTGAAATAATAAATATTGCTCCATCTGCCTTTATTATAAATTGAGTTCTGGCCAGTTAACTAAAATAAAACCATCACAATCTCAGTGTGCTTAAACCCAGTACACTAGAAAGGTTACGTTTCTAAACCAGAAGATTCTGGATATTTTTACTCTGGTTTTCTTTTAATTACCCAGGTATTTAGCAGTCTAGTTGAAAAAGGAAGTTAACGTATTGTGTAATTCCTTGAAAGTCACCACAGTTTCAACTTCTCTCTATTCAAAACAATACTATTTTATTTCTTTTTTTAAAAAAAAAAAATACATACTCTTCTGCTTGGATGGAGTCAACGGGAGCCACATAATTACTGGGAATATAACCAGTTTCTCCAGTAGTCAGGGATCGGGCTTCCCACCAATCTCCTTCCCTGCAAAGCAAAAGTTAGAAAAAAACAGAACATTGTTTTAAAGATAGCCATCATAATATGCCTACCGTGCTCCTGGTTCAGTAAAGGAATCCATCCTTTTTGAGCATTCATAATTAAAGAAACAGACAATGGAATGCATTTTTCTTTTGTTACTATTGCCTAGAAATTCCACTAGATGGAGATCTTTTATAACAGCCATAAACACTGCAGTTTGTGCCAGGTTATAACAGAGATTCATTCAGAAAACAGAGAAAGCAAGCATTAACTGGTATTGCTGTGTTTGTACAGTTTGCTTCCATGTTAAAAGAATGTATCAGTGTGGGTGGATTCCACAGCTCTGCTGAAAAAAATGCATGCTTGTGAACTTCACTGACTTTCAAACTACTGCACTCTGAAATGACTGACAAAAGACTGAAAATGTTTAAAGTTAAACTTTAAAAAAGAAAGTAGAATAATAAAAAAGATCCAGCACAACATGGGAAAAAATGATTAGGCATCCTTTGGGCGTTTTTGCCAGTAAAATATGGATAACTTTACTGCATTTAATATCCCCAATAAAAACTAAAATTAATTGTATACGATGTACTGTTATGTACATCTGGATAGCCCAACTGCAGATTTAGAAAACTGTAATAAAATTGCTTATTATTCAAGTATGTTATCTTTATCTTCATCAGGACCATTTTGAGGCATAAGGAAAAGCAGATATTAAATGAAAATTTAAGCAAAATATGATTATGAAAATGCTATTCTTTTTAAAGTAAGTTTTAGTTTAACCAATTATGCTTATACAACCAGCAAAGATGTTTAGCCATAAAGAATCATAGAATATTCCACAAATTATCTTGTTTTTTATTTCAGTTTTATAATCTGCCAGTTATCTTTGAAAAGATATTGTTTTGATTTACAGAATCTTTATTAATATTTCAAGGAAGGAATTGCCATTATATACATGAAAAGCACATGATGCATTTAAGGAATATTTTAAAACTGTAGGTTTTTAAAATAAATATTTAAAGTATTTAAAATAAACACTGAATTTTTAGAAACACTGATTCTTAAAGGCCATGTTTTCAGTCCTTCTACATTTATTTTAATTGCCATTCTGGGACAGAAATATTAATCCTAGACAGTAAAGGCCAGCCAAAAGATGAGAGATGGAAGGTTCAGATTAGTCCTCTTCATAGATGTCCATAATTAACTACAACAGCATCAAAACAACAAAACATTAGATCATAAAATCTACTGAGGCATGGAGTTTGCATTATGATGCAGATTTTGTCAGTCCCATCTCTGGAATGTCAGATTCTTTCTGTTCTATGATCAATCAATCAGTAATATTTATAACCAATGACCAGCGAAGTTCATTGTACAATACTGGATGATGTGCTTTATAGTGCATTCAGCAACTCAGTTCCAAAGCTCTTCTTATCAATTATAGAAATAATGTAAGGGTGAACATCTCTTGCCTTTTGTTCTGATGGTAGCACACAATTTATATGAATGGCAATAAATTTAAAAAGACATGAAGATGTAGGGAGCAAATTAATTTAACTCCTCCCCCCCATGTTATCTGTCCCTCTTTACATACATCAGACATCTACAATATTACTGGTTTTATTTATTTATAAGATTACTGCTCAGATATTCACTGATAAACAGTAACAGCGAATACTGTCATCAAAATAACAGTAGCAATAGTTCCAGCTCTTTACATAATTAACAAGTAACTATTTTCTCTCCTCTTTTATTAGCTTAAATAATCAGTAATCTAAATGTTCTGCCTAATATGAAACATCTCTCAATGGCAGAAAATAGCTCTGTATAATCTTCAATTACGTTAATTCAACTTACATTTGTCACAATAATAACCTATGTTCTTTCTTAAAAAGTTATAAATTGAAGCAGATGATCCTAATATGATGCGTTACAGGTAGTCCTCGACTTACAATCATTTGTTTAGTGATTGTTTAAAGTTACAAAAGCACTGAAAAAAGGGACTTAAAACCATTTTTCACACTTATGACTGTTGCAGCATCCCCATGGTCATGTTAAAAAATATGGATGCTTAGCAACTGGCATGTATTTATGATGGTCATATCCCAGAGTCATATGATCACCTTTTGCGACTTTCTGACAAGTCAAGTCAATGGGGAAGCCAGATTCACTTAATAACCTTGTTACTAACTTAACAACTGTGGCAAGAATGGTCATAAAATGGGACAAAATGCACTTAACTATTTTGCTTAGCAATGGAAATTTTGGGCTCAACTGTGGTCGTAAGTCAAGGAGTACCTGTACACATTTTTAAAATTTATATACACAGGAATTTAATATATCATTGCTATCTAGGGAACAAAACATCTAGGCATTAAAAAGTAAATATATAGTAAAGAGAACTTACGAATTGTTAAGTATCTGGAATTTTTCTCCTTTATGAAAACTTAAATCATCTTCTGTTCTTGCTTCGTAATCATATAGAGCTACAAAAAGAGTTACACCTATAGAAAGATAGTAAAAGTGAATGCAACTTTTGCAAATCACAGTGTTTTTAAAACAAATTATTTCATTTTTTTTCATAATGGAAGATAAATTTGAACCTCTCATTTTATTTTTCATACAGCATTTCACATAGGAAGCCCAAAACATTTGGTTATATATGCACTGCCTAAATTCTAATATTATCTTTTTCTAAACTGCTTTGTATGTATTATCTTTGATCAATGTTGTCCAACAGGACTGAAGATTCTAATGTGGTTTGCAGGGCACCAATGTGCCAGTGGATATTTTTTTTGGTGCTGGGTCAGGCTCTTCATTTATTTAGTGTATTAATCAAATTTATTACTACCATATCTGTGAGGCTCTTTGCCTCCCCCATTTGAATTAATAAATCGTATCTTGGCAGGCTGCAAATTAAACTGACAACTTCTAGCACTATATTTATTTCCAAGAACACAGCTTAATAATGAGCACACAAGCATCATAAGCACACAACCATCATTAGATGGCCATGGAATATAAACCTAAGAAACAAACACCATCTCTCTGTTCTGGATATCTATGGGAATAGTATCATACACCATACAAAATAATAATATGGTTGGTTTGGCTTTGGCATTATATGTTGCAGGAGCATACTATGATTTTTAAATCATGGTTAATGGCTTAGTGTATTGGCCTGCTTGTGTCACACCACAACTTAGTGAGCTGGGTTAATGCATACACTGATATTTTATTTAGGACCACCTATTAATTTTATGGCTGGTATCAGCAACAAACATAATGAATTTCAAATGTTATTATCTATATAGCCTTTCAGCTCTTATGCTGCTTCAGAAGTTATAGAAAATTAAACCTTAAATCTAGAAGAAAATATACATCTTAATTTTCAAAACCTGTGTGAGAACTGATTCCATAAGAATGTTGGGCCTGGTATATTGGACATACATGATGAGAAAATAATATCTACTAAACCTACTAATAGAACAATTAACCAGTGGAACAACCTGCCTCCAGAAGCGGTGAATCTCCAACACTGGAAGTTTTTAAGAAGAGACTGGACAGCCATTTGTCTGAAATGGTATAGGGTTTCCTGCCTGAGCAGGGGGTTGGACTAGATGACCTCCAAGGTATCTTCCAACTTTTTTATTATTATTATTATTATTATTATTATTATTATTATTATTATTATTATTATTATTATTATTATTATTATTATTATTATTATTATTATTATTATTATTATTATTAAACCTATATGACTGACTTTTGCCAGTAGAGACGCAAACAATGATGTCGGAGTATGAATAGTAAGTATGTGCATATCTGAATTCATGCACTGGTGAACCCTGATAATATTTTCATCAAGTACAAAAGTATGTCTGAGATAAAGGCAAAGGGATTTAAAGAAGAAATATACACTTATTGAGGAACATAAACATGCTTTAGAAAGGGAATGGATGCAGTTCTTCTTCTTGTTGTTATTCACCTGTTCCTCCTCTTGTACGCAATGTACCAGTATGTGATGAAGAATTAACACCACCAAAGACCGTCAATCCTTGTCCTCCAGCTGTGGGGAAGTTGTTGTAGTTTGGAATTGAAGTCACACCAAAACTTGGGTAATGCTGGGGGGTAGGATCTGTTCCATAGCGATAACCTGAACTCTGGTTTAAACTACCATCCCTCTCGTCGGTCAGTTTTGTTGCTTCTTTATCCTTACATTGCACACAGCCCATTATCTAAAATCCTGCAAAAATCAAAACAAAACATACAGTATGATGCTTATACATTTCAACTAAAATATACAACACATGCATATTCAGGAGTGATAGAATTAGAGTCATTTTTGGAGGAAATGCCTAGGCATCCAATTGCTAAAATCAGGCTAACTTTTCTTGGGGTGGATTCTAAAAAAAAATTCTTGGACTACAGAGTTAGCGTTTGAACTTCAAATTGTAAATATGGAAGGATATCACATTTTTGTGGGGCTAAATATACCAATTCAGTTTATGCCAACCCCATTCTTGCTGCCATGAGGGCAAAAGTGGATATTCTATCAGTATCAATTATGGCTTCGGATATTAATGTTATTAATATTATTTGACATGTTCAAAAGGCAGGGAATCAGATTTCATACTCTGTACAATAAACTGGAGAACACCTTCACACCTGCAGGCTTTCTATGTTCATGTTGTTGGCAATGGTATTATTTTTCTTTAGGAACTGTTAAATCTAAAAGATAGTGCCTATGTGGCATACAGTAATTTTATAGAGTGTGGAGCCCTGACTTCTTGACCCTGTAGTTGAACTCTGAAGATGGGTAGTTAGAATTTCTTCCCCTGCTCTTCTTCCTCACACAAGCTTTCCTCTTCGCACTCCTGTTTGCTCACTCTGGTCATGAATTCCTAACTAGTTTGGCCTTTTCCAAGAGTGCTGGATGAGACTGAGCTGTTGGCTGGGAAAGAAACTTTAGCTAGTACCTGTCTCTCTCTCTCTTTTTTTTAATTGAAAATGTTATAAAATTTTACAATATAAATCCCCCCCTACCCCAAACCCACCCTTCCACTCCCCCCTCCCTCCCCCCTCACTTCCCAGAGCCAATCACAGGGTTAACAACAAAATAATCATACTCTAACAAACGTTAATCAACTATTAAAATAACATATCTAAAACCTCCTTTAACTCTCTTTTCAGCAAATATACAGTTATTAAAGACAATAATAATAATATCGCTTTGATAATTAAAAATAATACTAAGTAAACTATTCTAACCTTTATAGAACAATAATATTCTAAAATTCACTCAAAAACCAAATGATATTTTTTGGTCCCATATTTACGCTCAATATAATCTATCCATCTTCTCCAAACCGAAATATATCTTTCTTGTGAATAGTCCCTTCACATAAGCGGAGATCTTGGCCATTTCTGCTAAGTTCGAGACTTTAAGTGACCATTCTTCTATAGTGGGCAAACGTTCCGTTTTCCAATATTGAGCTACTAGTAGTCTTGCAGCAGTTATACAATTCAACATCAAATCCATTTCTTTTGCATCCAAGTCTTCCATAATGCCCAACAAAAATACCTGCGGCTTAAACTTTATCTTTTTCTTAAAAATATTTTGAATATTCCACCATATCTTAATCCAAAATGCTTTAACTTCCCTACATGTCCACCAAATATGAAAATAAGTTGCATCTAAATTTCCACATCTCCAACACTTAGGTTGTAGATTAGGATACATACAAGACAATTTTTGAGGATCCAGATGCCACCTATAAAACATTTTATAAAAATTTTCCCTTAAGTTTTGAGCTTGAGTAAATTTTACATTTCTAACCCAAATTATCTCCCATAGTACCTGTCTCTTGATGGGTGAGGCAGAGGCAGCCTTAGCCCCTTCCCTTGTGACTTTGTGCTCAGCAAGCAAACATCAGCCAGGAAAACAAAACAAAACGAATGGACTCACACTGGCTCCTAGTTACTGTACAAATTAAGTGGGAAACAGCGCAGCACGATCTCAGATTACAGGTCTTTTATGCTCCCCTGAGTTGGACACAATCTGGCCTGATGAGTCACCTTTCCACAAAATTCTGACATTTAGCCATTTGGGGATATAATCCGTGGAATTTTTCCTTTGGGTTTCACACTATCTGCATGCAATACTTTATAGGTTTCTGAAAAGCTTCTGTAAGATGAAGTTTAGAAAGACATGGTTTATTACAGGGAAAGATGAGAATATGACCAGAGATGTATTATTCACCTGCTGAGCCAACAAAAAAATGAATTAACTTCCCAGTTATCAAAAGGTGGGGAAGGGAGGAAAGCAGAGAATAAAGTAATTCTTCAAAAATTTATGACCTTAGAAAAGTTATGCCAATAATGAATATACCTAAAACCTCCAAGCCATAAAAGATGAAGATGGAGAGGATGGTGATGATAGTAATAGTAGTAGTAATATTTCAAAGAGATAAAAGCCTATCTGTACAAAACAGGTACTTGGACTGCAACCAAATCTCTCCCTTTTTTGCTGACATGTATTTTCTGTAAAAGAGATGGGACGAGTACATGGAAATGTATGATGGAGAGATTCCCCCACCACCACCTTTTCTATTGTCTTTTTCAACTTGGCTCCAATATCTAGGCAATGCATTTTTAAAAGCGTGATTGGAGGACTACATAATTTGTGACGAAGGGTGTAACCTACATGTTTTGTTTTTCAAACCAAGACTTAGAAAAGTGATCCATTTTTTTCTTGAAAACTCCATACATGATATCATTGAAAGCTTAGTTAGGAATCTGGAGGAAGTAACAAAGTATTACTGGATGGGATCCCAAATGACTCCCAGGCTTGTGTAGGTCATTTTAAATGCATCCTCTATTCAGCAGTAGCACAGAGCTCTAAACAGCCAGAGGACGAAAAACTTAACTCCTACAGTTTTCATATCAGAAACATCACTATACGGATCGCAGGCATTTCAAGCCTTTAGCAAGCTAGAAACATATGGCTTAGCAGATGATGGTGATATCATTTCATAAAATCTGAAAATCATTACAACTGGTAAATAAGATTTTGATGTATAGGACAGTAGTTCTAAAATATCACATCCCTTAATTATTTGGGCATGACTGGGTCATATGATTGTTTTAGCAAATGACATTGGTTTTTCAAAATAAGTGTATAAAGAAGTTCAATTTGTTATCTACCTCTCCAAAGCAAAACGAGGAAGGTGCTAATTAAAGCCCACAGAAATTATGAAACTGAGTGATATACTGAAATACAGTACTGTACGTATTTCCTCATAAATTCCAGGGCCTGTTTGCTTTATGAAATCAAGCAGTAATTTTGTAACCACGTGACAATATGACTGCAGCTGCAGCATACAACTGCAGTCTTACAATATACTTTCATAGAAATAACTCCTAATGAGCATTCAGTAGAAGTGTGTGTGTGTGTGTTTGTGTGTGTTTGTGCGTGTGTGTGTGTGTGTGTGTGTTAAATCCTACGTGTATTACCTAAGGCAATAAGTTCTATTCTACACTGTATAGAATTATCCTGCAAGTGACAGATTGTCTCCTTATGCAAGAATACATGGATATACTGATTGGAATGATGCAACAATATACAAAGGAGCAGATGGACAAAAATTAGGTATCAGCAACATTCCACCTCTTACAACGACATCCAGATTTTAAATGCTCTATTTGCCAATGTACTTATGTTGCAAAAAGCAAATTGTCATCATGTTTCAGAAACTTCAGCTGTTCGTATGTTTCATCATGGACACTTTAACGTTACAGTCAAGAATTAGAAGAAAAAGCTCCACAAAACATATTGTGTCTTCTTTGGAAATCCAGAAGTTTAGAGTTAAAAAAGTTGCTACATAATTGAAAACCAGATAAATGTTTATATAAACTTTTGCTCTTAGTTTCTTCCCACTCGCTGTTCATCAATTCTTCACAGCAAGGAAAAGACAAGCCAAAGAAGTAGTGTCCAATTGAAGCAGGTGCTTTTTTGGCTCTGATTCGAGAAACAAGCGATAGTTATGGGCAGTTCAAATGGGATACCAATCCCTCCACAAAAAAGTTATGCTCAAATAATTCTACCCACTTGAAGCTTGGAATAACAGCTTAGTCCAAAAATAGAGCCCAACAACACAGTCCATTCTGGGCTTACCCAACCCAGCAGTCTGCTGTCCTCCCATTGTTGTGATGGGAGATAAGTATGTTTTCTGCAAAAGCACTGTCCCCATGATTTCCTATAGCCAGGTGTCTGAGATTAGAGTGGCAGAGACTTCCTATCAAGAGCTGTGGCAGGAAGGCTGCTGGTATAGCACAGTAGGTCTGCCTCGCAGTGTCACAGCCAATTCATTCATATGCAGGGTACAAGTCCTAGCACTACTATCATCTCAAAAGAGTCAATCCAACTACCTCTTCTTTTCTGTAGGAAGATTGTTAGCAGCTAAGGTGAATGCCCCCTTCCTGAGAAGTGGAAGGGATCAGCCTCACCAAATTTACATTGCCTGGGAGGAAGTGGATTGACTTTGAGGACAGTAGGGGAAGTGATGCACTTGAATGAGGAGAAAAGAGGAACTGCCATTGGGAGTCCTGCTAATGCATAGTTGCAATTAGGGTAGCTGATCTCTTTATTTTTTTTGTGCACAAAGGTTATTATTGACCTTGTGGAAGACTTTGATATTCCCCTTACTGAAAAAAAATTGGCTATCGCATGAAGGTCTATTCTTTCCAGCAGCTAAAGCACAGATGGTCGTGGAGACACAGAGCCCTGAAGCCAAAGGGGAGAAGAGGAACTGGCAACAGATCAACTGGAGCCTTGCAGGTCATCACCTTCCATTTCTCCTTTGTGCAACATAGAATGTTCCATTTTCAGTGGAAAACACCAGCATTTCCTGCCAGCTCACCTCAATCCAACTTTAGCCTGGCTTAGCCACAGGCTGACAGTGAGATGGAGGCATTGTTGGGAGAACTTGCCTGCAACAAAGAGTAAAAAGCCTATCGTAGTGGCAGGCAGGGCAAGGAATGTGCATGAATGAAACTTCTGCTAAGATGTTGTGCTCTTGCAGGTTTGCATGCAGTGCCAACTATGTAGGACAGGATAAACTTGCACAACTCAAATTACATATATATATATATCAAAACTACAAAGTTAGAATAAAAGTACCATTGCCAAATTATCTGGGAATTCTTATTTGGAAATAATGTTTATTTACAAACAATTATAAACCA